AACTTTGGCCAGAACTGGAGTTGACCAAAGGATATATTTGAGGAAGACTTGGCGGTAAGAGTGAGGGAAAAAAACAAGATTAGAGGGCAGTAACACAGGAGAAGAGCAGTTTTTCCTTTTTCACAGATTAAAGAGTTGAAATTGTCTTTGATTTAGAAATCAAAAAAATCTGAATTTTTCAAATTTAATTTTGTTTTTCGAAGTTTTTTTGAGTGTCCCTACTGCTGAAAAAGTCTTATTTAGAAACGAAACTAATTTCCAAAAGCTAAATTTATCCTGTGTAGTTTAAAAACTGTGATTGCGCTGATTTACTAACTCTTAATTACATTGAGAACTTAATTAGTTCTTAGGTAAATTTATTTTTTTCTTGAGCACTGTTGATGAGGTAAGGAGGGAAACTTAACGAGCAACTGCTAGGGACAGTGAAAACCTCATGCTAACTCAGTTCGTTTTTAACCTCACTATGGTTAAAACCCTCACTTGGGTCTTTGTTTTCATTTATAAGGTTAATTTTTTTAGCACTCGTCCATAGAACTAATCCTCAAACATTTTTTAACTCCTTTTTTAAAACTTTTTAAAGTCTAATGTTTGTAGACGTCAATGAATGTGAAGATGGTACTCATACATGCGGTGATCGGCCCTGTGTGAATCAACTCGGCAGCTACAGATGCCTCTGCTCGGCTGGATTCGATTTTAACGAAACGGTTCGCAGCTTCATAAATTCAAGTTTTTTAAAGTTAATAATTTCGAGTCGTCGCAGAGATATTAATTAATTATATACAAAAATATCTCAAAAAATTGGATGGACAATAATGCTTTTGTCCACTAAGTCGCTGACATTTCCATTCGGCACTACAACTAGATCTCGTCATTACAAATCGAAGTTAATGTATGCAGATTAATCGTATTATAAATTTCCATTTATAAGTTTCGTTTTATGACTTTGTTAGCGCTCCAATTGTTAAAAAAACACCTGAAAATAGAATAAAATCCATTTTTTTGGGAAAAGTTAACGATAAATCATAGATTTATTCAGAAAAAGTTATATTTTTAATAGTAACCAATCTGCTGGCCAGAAGTGGTATTTGAGGCACAAAAAATTGAAATTCCCCAGTTCTGAAAATAAGCTGCGGCATTTTTCCGTTTGTACAGCTGCCGAGCAAGCTTTTTTCGGGCATCAATAGCAGCTTAGGCAACAAAACACAGCTGCTTTGCTTAAAATATAAATACCACATTGTTGTTCTCAGGCCCATGTATTAAAGCTTGCGTTTGTGTTGGTGTGTATGTGTGTGCGTGTTTGTGTACGTGTGTGTGTGTTGTGTATGTCAGTAACTTCTGAAAAAAAGAAATTCCATATTGGACATTTTTAGGGGTCCTGAAAATGTCGTTTCCCAACTTTAATTAAAAACATGATTGCGTCGCCGCAAAACCTTACAAATATCGCAATAAGGAAAAGTTTTGACACTTACAAATCCTAATAATTACTTTTGAAGATATTAATCGAATATGTACCTCAACGACATTGTCTTAAAATAGTAATGTCTTTTCCTTGTTCTAGTTTTATAAGGTCGAACATATGCTCGTCATTTACATGGCAGGTATAAGGCTGCACCGTTTACTCCTGCTCCTAACTGGGCACTGTACTTTGTCAGTGTTTACAGCTAAGGGATGAAACACAGACTCTTCTCCAATAGGTCCATTAGTACATTTGTTATTTAATTCCAATATCTCTAATTTTGATATTTTAGACGAAGCGCTGCGAGGATATCGACGAATGTGTAGAATTTCGAGGACATATTTGTTCGCCGGATAGTTTTTGTGAAAATACCTACGGCTCATTTCGATGTCATTCTATTGTCGGTAAAACGTAAATGACCCTCCGCATATATAGGTCATTTTCTAATTTCGTTCAGATTTGTGGCGAAATGGATTCGAAGATTCTCGAAATTCTCAGTGGATTTTTCTAAAATTATTATTTTTATACATTACATAAATTATTACAAACCACAATAAGATCGAATCCTTGAGTTAGTGCGTGTGTCTGTGTTCACCCATGTTTTCGTGTGTCTGTGTGTATGTGTACATCATACGTTTGCGGGTGTATGTGTGTGTGTGTGTGTGTGTGTGTGTGTGTGTATGTCAGTGTTCGTGTCCGCATCTGATCCTGTCTATCGCAGTGAACAAATCTGGGGACTGCGGCATTCAAAAAAGTGAGAATTTCCAAGAAAGTTTTGTCCTCAGCTGTTTTTGCAAATCTAAAGACGCAATATCAGTTTTTGAGTCCCTCTACCTGTTGATGTACAGAACGTAAGGGATTCAGCCTTATGAATTAGCATCATGCCAGCTTACCTATATTTTTGGCATATTATCATACAATGAACAGGCCACAAAACTATGGTGAATGAGGCATGTAAGATCAA